CAACTCTTTGATTCGAAGTAGACTGTACAGAGCAACGGAAAGAGGAGGCAAACAAACAAGTATGATTAAGCATACTTTTTTAAGGAATTAATAATCGTTGACTGAAGTACTGGATATTATCCTCAATGTTCTAAGTATGCCAATGAGTTTCCTTCTTAGTTTTCTAGATATTTCTATGCAGTGCTATGCAGGTCAAAGCTCTTTTATTTTGAACTAAATGTCAGAGCGTTAGTGATTTTAATGCAATTAATGATTAATGATTACGATCACCAATCATGATTTTTTTTTAGAGATTAATCATTAATCATTAATCTTAATCATATGGCTCACATAATTTGATCATTATTAATTATTTATAATCATTGTAAATGAAATACACAATTGATTTGGTTGTTCCACTGGTTTTATGGAGATTTCGTTTTTATGGCTTTCTCAATCTAGGGTAATTCAAAAAGTTAGTTTTGCATTGCCCGACGTTTCGGCCGTTTATTGTGGCCTTTTTCAAGGGTAAACTAGAAAATATTACAACTTATAGAGACTACTACTAACATTAAGCATTGATATAACATGAACATACACAGTCTACCGTTTGGCAATGCAAAACTAACTGTTTGAATTACCATAGACTGAGAAAGTCATAAAAACGAAATCGAAATAAACAATGTATAATCATTCATCAGTCAAGAAAATCTTCAGATCATGTAGCACTGCTTTTATGATCGCTCTAAATTCACCTGTTTTCGAATTTTTATTATAGTCCTAGGAATCCTCTGAAGTTTTCTTCCATAGTTTTATTCAAAATTCACTTCAATATTCCTTCGAAAACTAGTGCAATTCAGCCCAGAAAATATTTTATTTTTTTTAAAAATAGCTTTAATTCATTCCAGAATGCACTAGAAATGGTTCTTGAAACTATCCTTGGAATTCCCTTGTTCTCAGAATACCTTCACAATAATACAAGAAAAATTCAATTTCATTCTTCTTGGAATTACCTTGGAACTAAGTCTTAAGAAAACACTTAGAATTTCTTTGGAATTTGACCTATTTTGTATCTGTACTTAGGATTAAATACCCTTTGAGATCTTCTCGTAATTTCCTTACAATTAGAACCCCATTGAAGTTCTTCTCAGAACTTTGACTTTGAATTCCTGTTGTTTAAAATACTTTCTACAATTCGCCTCGCATCGCATTAAGCAAGTTGCACAAATTCGTAGGTGGTACAAGTTCTAGACCATTGTTTGAGAGTATTGCCACTTCCGTCCGCCACCGTATTGAATGAGATGAGGGATTGTTCTCGGCCTAGATGGAAGTAGTACTCGAAATTACCTTGGAACTAAGTCTTAAGAAAACACTTTGAATTATGCTTAGAATTTCTTTGGAATTTGACATATTTTGTAACTGTACTTAGGATTAAATACCCTCTGAGATCTTCTCGCAATTTCCTTTGAATTAGAATCTTCCTCACAGTCATCTTGGGATTCTCCTCAGAACAACTTGAAATTATACTCAGACCCCTCCTAGAAATTCACCTGGAGTTAATTGTTCCTTAAAATACTTTCTACAATTCGCATCGAATCGCATTAAGCAAGTTGCACAAGTTCTAGACCGTTGTTTGAGAGCATTGTCACTTCTGTCCGCCACCGTATTTAATGAAATGAGGAATTGATCTCGGCCTAGATGGAAGTAGCACTATTTACAACAATCGATGACTTCTCTGGCCACGTCCTTGCATCTGCTGGAGATAGAGAGGATTGTTGGTTGGACACTTACTTAAGAGAGATACAGAGAATTCTATTACATCTCATAAGTGTAGCAGGAGTTTGGAGGCTTGTTAATGTGGAGGGTAAAGACATAGGATACGTTCGGTAAACGATGCTGGTAGATTTATAATAGCAATGGGAATAGAATAAGACATAGTGATAAATTGCAAGGAAGCGGACGGGCCTGGGATTGAATTTCCAACCTTCTGCTCAGTAAGCAGACATAGTAACCACTAAGCTACGGACTCCGTCTACCTTAACATTTTTTCTACAATTACCTTGAAATACTTGTCAAGACTCTTTTAGAGTTCTTCCTAGAACTATCTTAGAATTGTTTCATGAAATAAATTTTTTCCCGTTAAATTTTCCATTAATTTCCATTTTTTCAACAAATTTGTATAAAATTTTCATTCTTAAAAATATTGACTGAATCTTAAACAAAGTTACTGAATCTTTAAAATACAATCCAGTTGAAATTTCTTGTATATTTCCAAAGTTCATCATTTCATTTGTTCTAAAAAAGCAGTGCGAAGTATATTTTATCCCTATGAGTTATCGAAATCAACTTGCTTTTCAACACATTTTCAGGTAAATTGAAGCTTATCTATTATCAGGCTTAGTCTAAAAGTCTGAAATAAAAGATAATGCGCAGTAGGCTCTGTCCGAGAGCGGTTGGTTTTAAATTTGCTGTCACAAATTTTGTGTTTTCCGCGTGCTTTTTGGCTGGTTCCAATGCAAATAGAAATTCGTTTTCATTAATGTGAATAAATGAAGATTCTGAACAATATTGTGAATACTCCCGGACAAGAACTTGGTACAAATAGAATTGTTGCTGTAGGTCGTGCTAGCTGGTTTGTGTTTCGATGGGTTTTTCTTTTCGCGTGTCTGTGCTACAACTTCGCTTCCGGAAGAAAATTTACGTTTTTGGTGTTGGCGTTCTGGCCCCCCGATCAATAACCGGGATCTTCTTGTATCCTACCAATTCAAAACATGACCATGGCATCTAATTATTCCATAATAAAAAAAAACATTGTTTTAGCTGAAATGAGTATTTGCAAACCTTGATTCCACTACAGATGCCTATTATTCAACAGGACTCAACGAGAATCGAGATGACAAAGATTCAGCAACAAGGACACACATAAGCGGTGAGATCTAACTGATTACAACTAGATATAAAAATATGAAATGCAACCCACTAAATACGTGCCATATACAAAGCAGGAATTGCTTTGATGATGGAAGTGTACACGCAGTACCAATATATATTTTATATCGGTACTACGTGTATGCGGGGCTTGTTGTAAGTGAAAGTAACCTCGGAATGGACGTGAGCTACCAGGCATTCTGAAATGGGTTACTGAATCTCAACAGAGCTATCACCTTTCAACTTCCGGGCTAAAATTGTTTGCAATGGGATCAGTATAAGATAATAATAGATTATATTGCAAACATTTTTCTTCCATAAAAACACTGCCGGACAGTGGAAGTTGGATTGTATATACATACATACATACATAGTCGAAAAGTCTGAAATAAAAGTACAATTTGAAATGCGTATGTGAATAAATAAATTATCAATTACTACCATTAGGGTTATGATCTTATTTCCGTCGTACTAAATACAACGCACACAGCTTACCTCTCACTGATAAATTGAACTATTCCCATTTTGCTTGAAATTTAATCAATTTGACGTTAAACTCAGTTTAATCTTATCGAATGATTAAAAATTAATCCTCTCTTTCTAAAAAATAAGCATCTGATATTAATCCCAGTTTAATAATGGTTGATTAGATCGTAGATTATCTTTTTTTGAATATTTTTTAATCATTTTTAATTCTATTTTAAAATTTTTTGATTGAATTTTAATCTTTTTTGATTATATATCAGTATTGAAAAAGAATAAAATTTAATACTGGAAAGATTATTTCGATTTTAATCATGCATGACTACTGCCAAAGTAATCATGGCTCGGACTCAATAAGGTGAAGCGGGAAACTGCATACTTTTTAAGCTTTTTTGATTTAATTTACCTTTGAGTACTCCTTTTTGAACGGGTTTTAACAAACATTTGAATGTATCAATCAAATATGACTTCTATGATATTGTTGAAAATCTAAGACTGCTTCTTGATTCCAATTCCGTCATACGAGTTTACGAGATTCTGTCCAAACACATTGAAACGTCATTGGAATCACTTCGGCATACGGAGTGCTTTTTTTGTTTTTGAGAAGAATGGATGTAAATATTTATATTATTCGTTCATATAGGCTTTGTGTTGTGGTACAACACTTAACTATCGTATCAAACGCATGATTGATTCGTTCAAGTCGAAATCATTGACATATTTGATGTTTCTGTTCTATATGACGGAAATGGGCGCTTTTGCCGAAGTAGTGCTCTACCTTACCTGTAAAGTGGAAGTTCCATCGTAAAACGGGTAGAAGAAGACCACCAATTGGAGATGGTGGGTGCTTAATCTGAGTAATTTATGAATTGGCGATAATTTTGTTTTGCATTTCTTGCTTCATATCTTTCATTTAAAAAATGCCAATTTGACAAGAAATCTCTGGAAAAATCTTATACCCGACACACCGTACCGGCCGACCGTGTTTACTAACCCGTATTTCAATTACATTTCAAAGCCTCTAATAGATTCGTCTCCGCTTGCTGACTATGGGAAGCCAAAATTTACGACTATTTGGATTTTTTTCCATTCTTCTACTGCTGAACCCTTTGGTTCGGTGGAAATTCTTCCTCCTTTGGCCACCTTCGCAGTTGATCCCCGGAGGCAAGTAATTCGATCCCGAAAATCATAACTTATCCGAAAATTACCCCGCTCAAAGCACCGTTTGGGAATGTGCCAAAGAGCAGTGCAGTACCGTGTTTGAACTGCGAGGTCAGAGAGCATGAGAATTTCGATAAGTGGTGAAGCATGTTCTTGGCGCTCAGCACTGTGGCCACATGAATGACGGCGACCTTTTTTCCCGTCGGAATCCTGTCCGCATGAAAAATGGTGCTAACAGATTTCCACCGAAATGTGGCACGCTTCGGCAATAATAATAAAAATTAATTATCGCTTTCTTTCTCACTATTTTTGGGAATGGTGTGCGGTGAAAGGTACAGAACATTAAAGCGATTTATGCCGATTCATTAGAACGTTCGAATCCCGCAGCCGTTTGTGGCGATTTGTAAATATATGTTCACACTAATTGAGGGAAGTAAAGTGGTACTCACGTCTGAAGCCAGGTGTTTCCGGACTTCGTTCCGGACTGCATATCCGATCTCGATCTCCTTCTTCACTGGTTTGTCCTTCCATCGATTCATCCTTGGTTGGTGGAGATAACGATGCACATGCTGGACTCGACGAATCCGACGTCCGGAATGACTCCGAACCGGTACTACTACCGAACAGCAGCCCCTTTGAAAAGATATTCTGACATCACTTATCGTAAACTGTCCGTTTTGGCTGGGGATTTTAAAATCTTACTTGGTCGATGCCAAATCCGAGACATTTGGGCGGTGCGAAGGCCGACGGAAGCGGTAGATTCGAAGGGAACGGTTTCACAAATGCTCCCCCTCCACCGAAGGGGCTCGTACCGTTGGCTGTCGATACGGCTGGGTTTAGCGGGTGCAGGAAGTGTGGCTGGAAACCGTGCAGCAGATGGGCGCCGTAGCCACTCATTAGCGAAAGATGGTGCAGGTCTTTGGCGTCCGGGAGCTTGAAGGGGTGGTTATGATTGATTTGTTAATTTGACGAATGGACTACGGAGCGATGGATTCAACGTGGGCTTTATGGTGTAAAATGGAGCAAATGAACGTGTTTTCGAAGTTTGAGTGTGCTGAGGTTGGAGTAATTTGTCTTCACCTTTCCCCCATTCATGTTGGACGTTTCATAAGAAGGAATTTAATGTGTCAGTGATAGAAGCAGATCAGTTTAAGATTTACGTTTTGCTTAACTTTTGCTTAGAATTTATCAAAATGAGAGAATGGTACACGTTTCAAAAAATTTCTTTATCGATTTTTTTTATATTTTACTTTAATTTTTTTTTTAAATGCTACGTGCACGAGGAAGGAGTGATCTATGGCCCCGGTATCGCCGATTAACCGTAAGTTCCAGAAATCATCAATCATCACAAAACCCAAAACTTTAAACGCGTTTTTCTCGAAATGGTGTTTTCCAAATTGGCGGGAAAGATAACTCAAAAAGTTCTCATCCAAATGACTTGAAACCTAGCGCATCTTAAAGGAAATAGATTTTTTACTTTATGTGAACCACTGATATCATGAAAAAATTAACAATAAATAATTTTCAGGTCTGCCTAAAGAGGAAAGAAGTGAAAAATCAACTTTTTTCCAGATATTTTTTTCTAAATTTTCAAATCGTTTTTTTTTGGTTTTAGAGTTTCACATAGAACAAAAATCTTTTCTGAATAAGGTCCAATTGATAAAAGTAAGTTTTGTCCATTTTTCAGGTCTCTAGAACGCCCGCCAATTACCAATCCCCACCGGAGGCAACCTCCTTCCGATGTGACCCCAAGGAGCCACAGAGGTCACACACCAATGAAAAAAATCTCAAATGAAAAGGAAGATATAAGCAATTTAATGCAAAGAACCCCAAACGTTTGCGTTGTTTCATTTGCTCACAAAAATTCCGAAAATCGTCGAGTTTTTGATGTGTTACTTGTATTTCCCCCCTTAAAGCGTAAGAAGGAGTTTATGTTCAGGTAAGGGGCGGTTTGAAAAAAGTTGAACTTTATTACAAAACAATTTAAAATCGAATAAATTTTAAGCTTTATTATAATGCACTTAGATATCCGTGCAACTTACAAAATTAACGTAAACTTTGATATTTTTGATAAAAGTTGGGCTAATTTCATTCAAAGTTCAGTTTGGTTTTCGTAAAATATAAAATGATCAGTTTTGGACCAATTATGTTTGCATTTAGTGTATATTTGAAAACTGTGATAATTTTCTTCTAAAGTTACGGTTGTTTTTGTCAGTAATGGTCAAAAATTGTGAAAATTTCTTTCGACCTCCCACTAGATTTCCGTTGTTGGAAGTTGTGATTAATTTCGATATCGTTAATCATTATGATCAAATTCATTCAAACTTGTGACCAGTTTATTTAGTAATTGTGACTAATTTTTTTTATTGAAGTTAGGCATTCCAATGCAGGCTGTGGGCTTATTTGTATATTTTTAACAATCTCTAACCAGTTACGGTTAATTTATTTGTAAAAATACATGATCAATTAATTTGAAAGTTAGAACCGGTGCTTACTTACGCTGTGTTCATTTTTGTTGAAATTGATGAATTTTTTTGATCAATTTCGATCATATTTGCTATAACCACTGGCGTGCACAGCCCTTTTCATTTTGGGAGGCATGCCTTCCAAAAATGGGCGCTTTACAGCTTTGAGGGCGCTAATAATTTTGAAGAGGTAATGTTTACTTACTTACATTTTCCTTGCTTTCCAGATTTCCACAATTTTTTTTGAACATTTTTGAGGTTTAACGAAACTTTTAAAAACTGTTGTTTGTTAGACACATATCTTATTAAAAATTTAGTTTATAAGGTAAATAATTTAACACTGAGACGAAAATCTCTGTAAAATAATTCATCCACTGAATTATGTTTTGAACTCCACGTCCAAGTACAAGAGATTTTCGATGCAGCTTTGAAACTTTCAATGCACCAAAAGCCAACCATGTAGCTAACACTAAATTTAAGGCGGTTTCACAAGAATGACCTTCCTGGAATCCCAATTGTTCCGGTATCAACAAACAGTTACTATTTAAATATTCTAACAGCTGGCCTTTTACAACAAGTGCCAAAATTTTCTCAAATACGTGCAACATGTTGATGGGACGAAACTTTTCGGGTGTCCCAACCAGTTTTTGTATAGGAACTAAAGATTCTTTCCAAATTTGAGGCACGTGCCCAGATTGCAATGATTGATTAATGAGGTCCAGCTCTTGAATAAAGGGTGATACGGTCAAAATTTGGTCAGTATCAACTTGACGTATTTCTTTCAATTTTGCATTTAAAAAACCTGAACACCCCTCATTTTGAAGGTGTGTGTGTGTAGAATGTTGCTCCTATTTTGATTTTGGAATTCACTCTTCAGTTGTCAAAATGCCGTGCAAGCAAGAAGAGCAGCGTATCAAAATTTTGCTCGCGCATCGCGAAAATCCGAGCTACTCGCACGCAAAGTTGGCAAAATCGCTAAAAGTTGCCAAATCAACCGTTACAAATGTAATTAAAGTGTTTGGGGAACGTTTGTCGACAGCCAGGAAGTCTGGATCGGGGGGAAATCGAAAACCGGAAGCCGCTGAGACGACAAAGAGAGTTGCCGGTAGTTTCAAGCGAAACCCTAACCTCTCTCTCCGAGATGCCGCAAATAAGCTGGGTGTATCGTCTAAAACCGTGCATCGAGCCAAAAAACGAGCCGGACTATCGACTTACAAGAAGGTAGTGACTCCAAATCGCGATGATAAACAAAATACGACGGCCAAAGCGCGATCCCGGAGGCTGTACACGACGATGCTGACGAACTTTGACTGCGTGGTAATGGACGACGAAACCTACGTCAAAGCCGACTACAATCAGCTTCCGGGATAGGAGTTTTATACGGCAAAAGGAAGGGGAAAGGTAGCAGATGTTTTCAAGCACATGAAACTGTCAAAGTTCGCAAAGAAATATCTAATTTGGCAAGCCATCTGTACCTGTGGCTTGAAAAGCAGCATTTTCATAGCTTCCGGGACTGTCAATCAAGAAATTTACGTGAAAGAGTGTTTGAATAAACGTCTGCTGCCTTTCCTGAAGAAACACGGTTGTTCCGTACTGTTTTGGCCGGATTTGGCATCTTGTCATTACGGTAAAAAGGCCATGGAGTGGTACGCCGCCAACAACGTGCAGGTGGTTCCCAAGGACAAGAACCCTCCCAACACGCCAGAGCTCCGCCCAATTGAGAAATACTGGGCTATTGTCAAGCGGAACCTAAAGAAGACCAAAAAAACTGCTAAGGGCGAGCAGCAGTTCAAGGCAAACTGGCTTTCTGCGGCGAAGAAGGTGGACAAGGTGGCTGTACAAAATCTGATGGCAGGGGTCAAGCGTAAGGCCCGGCAATTCGGATTTGGAAAAGCGGAAGCCTAACTGAATATTTTTCCTGAATTTTATACTAATTGAACTTGAAAAAGAAATTTAATTTGATTTTTTAAATAAACGATTTCACCGATTTACACGCGTTTTCCCTTGACCAAATTTTGACCGTATCACCCTTTAACTCTAGCATTATCATTATCTACTCCAGCCGTTTTTCCTAAAGAAAAGCATATATTTTTTAAGTTCATCTAATGTAATTGGGTGAAAACCATCAAATCTACAGTTCATATTAATCGGCTGTTTTATTTCATCCGGTACATCGACCAGTTCACCCATGCTGTAGTGCCCCCTGTTGCATCAGAGATATTTAAACCACACATACAATTTTCTTATTTTTCAAACGCCCTCCAGAAACATGCATATCATCAAAGTCAGCAAGAAACAATCAAATTCAATTCAAATTGAATTGCTTCAGTGACATTGAATCCAACAATTACAATTTCATCAAACATTACAAACGCTTTTCAGTTGCATAAGTATCATCAAAGTTTGAAATAAAACTCAAACAATTCCAATTTCAGGAAACGAAAATTAAAAAATAAAAATAAAATTCAACTACAGACTACTTGCTTCAGTGACATTAAACCAGCAGTTCAAATTTCATTAAACATTATAAACGCCTTTCAGTTGCATAAGTATCATGAAGGTATCAAAAAGAAATTAAATGAAGATTCCTAACGCCTTTTATTGCAAATCAATAATTACAATTGCAGGAAACAAAAACTAAAAACTAAAAAATAAAATCAAATTCATGTTAAGACCCCCAGCGCCCCTTGTTGCTTCAAGAACATTAAAACCAACATTTCCAATTTATTCAACAATTATAAATGGAGGAGTTGGTTGGAAATGCTAACATGAAGCTTTAGTGTGATAATTTATTAGCTAGAGAATGATCTTTTAGAAGAGACTAGGTGGATAGTTCCGTTAGAGTACGGCAGTATGAAAATTGAATAGAAGTTGAAAATGAGCGAAGGGCCATTAATGCGACAGTTTTTTTTGCCTGTAGACTTGGAGACATACGTCAAGTCTCCGCGCACATCGTACGGGTTAGGCAAAAGATGTGCGTCTATCTTTGAAAACTGTCGCATTAATGGCCCTTCGCTCATTTTCAACTTCTATTCAATTTTCATACTGCCGTACTCTAACGGAACTATCCACCTACTCTCTTCTAAAAGATTATTCTCTAGCTAGATCATTATCACACTAAAGCTTCATGTTAGCATTTCCAACCAACTCTGAAAATCGCTAACTTCGCGTATGAAGTAACATAAAAACACTTTGAAAATTATAAATGCTTTCCAGTTGTATTAGTATCACCACCAAAGTATACAAATATCAAATTCAATTAAAGACCCCTAGCGCCCCCTGTTGCATTAGAGATATTTAAAACCACACATCCTATTCCCCATTTTTCAAACGCCCTCGACGAGCATGTGCATCTTAAAAATAAACACAAAAAATTAAATTCAATTAAATACCCCTAGCGCCGCCTGTTACAAACTAACAATTCTAATTTCAGGAAACAAAAATTAATAAATAAAATCAAATTCAACT